TTCATTCTCCCTGTCCACATTGCTTAATCACATTTCATAAGGTGCTGCTTATAGTTTGTTCATACTGTATTTCTATGACTTGTCCAAAAAGATGATATGATGAGATAACAAGTGACCTAAAACCGCAATGCTTGAAACTTGAAAGATTAGGAAATCTTACAAATTCAACACAACCAAAAAAAATTGAAGGTTTCTTATGTACACAATCAAGACATCTTATCTTACAAGCAGCACATGAGTACAACCTACATATTTAGTTCTTCCTTCCCATATATTCGCTGAAGCTCCCGAGTGGCAGCCTGGTACGACTCTGAAATTACGAGCAACAAGGGTCAGCATTAAGTTTATGCAGCACAGTGATGGGATGAAATAGAAGAGAGGGGATTAACCTTTCCAAATTCTGAAAGCTTTTTGGTTGATTGGGGAACCAGTCACAGTTTGAATTGCATCAAACAACTCACCCTCTCTTGTGCTTCTTAGCTCCTGAACAATCTGATAAATGGTCTTACCATTCTCAAAGTATATGTGATTGTTTGGGTGCTTTGTCTTGCAACCAGCGTGACGCTCAAATTCATAAGCATTAAGTGCCTTCAAAAGGTTGTATTATTTGAAGATGATATGGGAACTCAAAACAAAGAAAAATTACAATAGACAAAGGATAAGGGAAGGCTTACCTTAGAATAGTTACATGATTGGCAACCACACAGATATCCTGAACCTTTTATAACCCCAAGCAGCTCCTTATTATATTCACGGAGATTTGCAATAAGTCAAAGACCAGCAAAGCTGACAGAATGTAGAATGCATTAAAAAATTGTACCTCTCGGGAAACAGATATATATTTTACAGGCACCCCATCAAGCATTCCAGTTGCAATCAAACTTCGAACATTTGATGGAAAACTGTTTGGAGCTTCTTTCTTAGCAGCAGGTTTTGCTTCTAGCTTATTCTTAGGCACAGGATCAATTCTGGGTTGAATCACTTGAGTGGTGCAAACAGTTGTATTCACGTTCAACCCATCTAACTCCTTGTTACCTTCTGTTTCTGATGATTGTACTGTAGATTGATTATAAAAATACTCATAGCTACTAATTGGTCTTCCCAGAGCATCAATATCAGGTTCCTCTTGATATCCACCAAAGAATATTGTACTAGAGTCCCCCTTCTTGAATGAGTGAATGCGTGATAATGAATTATTACCATCTTTCTCCAAGGTGGAATCTATTTGTCTCATATTTGCATCATGGTTGTCATAGGAATGATCAATCAATGACACATTTTCATCTTGCTTACCATAACCTTGCCCCATTGGTATGAAAGTGGTTTCAGACCCCTCACTGAACACCTGATTCATGGGCAAACCAAGATTTTGTTCCATGTGTGCATTTAAGCCATCATCAGAGTCCTTAACCTGATTCACTTTTACTTTCCTAAGTCCACTGTAACTAATGCAGGCCTCGGGTTCTTCAATGCCGTAAGACATTGACAAACCAACAAATGAATCGTTTCCAAACTGTTCATCAATCGCCTTTTTCCTCAAATTGGAATCTGTGCCAGCAGGAGACAAGTTTCTTTCACCTAAACTTACGGACCCTGTTGCATCAGATCCAAAAAGCCGATCTATGAATTGGTTTGGCACTGACTGAAAAGTAGAAGAATTCTCCCAAGATAGAGAACTTGCCAGAGCAATCCCTGAAGCTGACTTGCTGACTGACGCATCAACGGCTTGTTTTTTATTAGAAATTAGTTCCGGTTCAGTAGCTTCAGATAACCACTGGTGAGTACGCTTTGCTTCAAGTCTAGATGAGCCATCAAACACTGTGTCACCATCCACTGGATGCCCAACCCCTTTCGGTATCCAAAATTCCTTGCCATGGAAAGACTAGAGAGAAATAAATAGAAGTACACCAGTCAGAATTTTTAGCTTATGCAAGTAGAAGCAAATAAATGGTTGCAACTAACAGAAAGCATAAAATCTGAGATTTGAAAGAAAGTAACTCCGGTCTACCACCCAAAAATCCACCATGAAAGAAAATATTTGTAAGACCCTAGGATGTAAAGCCTAACTGTCAGTCCAAGATATATGAAAGAAGAGCTTAATGAAAGAAGAGCTTAATGAAAGAAGAGCAAGCTATCTTTGTTTGATCAGCATTGCCCTTTAACACTGAAATTTAATGACAGTTCCTGATTCCAATCACTAACATACGATGATCACCACTTAAAAGATGCAAGGTAATATTAACAACAAGTGCTCAAGTGAAATTCAAGAACATCCATCACTGATTTACCAGGTAGACCATCATAAATGCATTGAATAAGAAATAAATCATTAAAAGAGTCAGTACCATAGAAAGCAAAATGATGAACAAAAAAGTGAATTCATGTAGAAATAGTTTACTTGAAGTGTTGGGAGATAGGATCAAAATTACTAGTCTTAAACAGTAATTGAGTACCCTGATAACCATACCAAACTATCACATTCTCAAACCATTACAAGAATCAGCAAACTACTAACATTTAAGCACATTTGACATTTCCACCACAAAGCTATAGATTAATAAATGAAAAACTCAGAATTGAGATTTTGAATAGAAAAGTAAATAATCAGAGCCTACCATGTTGCAGCTTCTACTTCAACCGATCAATTCACAAGCCACGATGCACAATCAGAAAACTCCTGCTTTCCAATTCCACACAAAAAAAAAAAAAAAGTAAATACAAAATTTCCATTTCGTAATAAGCTGATTTTTTTTTTCCAATTCGCAATTAGTAAAAGACATTAGAAAAAACAATCAGGTCTCTATATGAGGAAAATCGAAGGAACCCTAACCCTAACACTGAAAGAAATAGAGATCGTACCCCTTGCGATGGAGCAGTTAAAAATACTCTCCGATGATGTTTCCGACGAAAAAAAAAAAGGCGGGCTACGGAGAGGGAGAGCGTTTTGTGGAGGAGAAAAGATTTGTTATGGTGGCTGAAGAGCACAGGATCTTTGCTCGCGAAGGGGTTGTACGATTGTAGAGAGACTGGCAACATTGGATTACTGTTAGGGGGCGTTTGGTTCAGGTTATATAACATAACCAAGGGAACGTGACATTCCAAAGTTCACATAACAGTGTTTGGTTCATATTATCTTAGGGAATGTAACATTCCCAAGGAATGTCACATTCCCTCCACATAGGATTTTGAAGGGAATGTGATTCCCTTCAAAATCTTAGGTAATGTAAGATAACTTTGGTTATGTTAGTTTATTATATATATATATATATATATATATATATATATATATATAATTATTTTTGTAATTATATATTTTTTAATTTTTATTATGTTATGTTAGCATATAAAATAATTTTGTTTCTCAAGTTCAAAATTTTAGAGTTAATATTTTAAAATCATGTAATTATATATGATACCGTTATCTTATTTATTTATTTTAATTTTTAAATTTATTAAAATATATGAAAATATGTTAAGGATATTATAGTGTGTATAAAAGATAACCCTAAACCAAACATGATTATATTACATACCCCAATTTTAACCAAACACAGGAATCTAACATTCCCAGTAATCTAACATTCCCAGCAATCTAACATTCCCTAAGGTAATCTGACATTCCGTGAACCAAACGGCCCCTTACAGTTATCATGGACGTACACGTGCCCCACTAGTACTCAATCTGTGCCGTTTGTTTTCTATTTCTGCCTTTTTGCCCTTTTATCGATCAAAGGGATTAAGATCTGGTGGGACTGGGACTCCAGCTTCCTTCATCATTGAGGCCCATTTTTTATTTTTTTTTAAAAATTTTTTTTTATTAAAAATTACGACATCCAAAATTTATTATAGAGAATCTACACTTGAGATATAACTGTCATTTTTTTCTTTTAAAATATATAGGTTATTTTCTACTTTCCATTTTTTAAATTTTTATGATTTTCTCTTTTATTAAAAAGTTTAAAAATGTATTCAAATTTAACAATTTTAAATTTATATTACTTATATTGGAATCAGTAAAATTTGTGTAAGACGACTTACGAAATGTATGAAAAAGTTGTTTTTTTTTTTTTTTTAAATAAAATCATAAGCTTTTTTGCTGAATACATGTCATTTCATTTCGACCCAATTGACTTGTTTAGTCATTGTTTCGTGAGGAGCGTTAAACTCACATGAATGATGTGCAGAGTTGTTAAAATAGACTGGGAATTTAGAGGCATGTCTCGTCCCATTGTGCAATCATTATTGCGTAATGATTGCTAAAAAAATAAGTGAAGATGGGATATGAGTTTTATAAATATTGTAATCCTATTTATTTATTTTTCTACTCTACCATTGATTATATATATATATATATATATATATATATATATATATATATATATATATATATATATATATATATAAAATTTTGGGATCGATGAATTTGGGTACTTGCATATTGTGTTAAATAGGTATGAGACGGATACAAGTATCATTCTATCGAGTAGTATGCCTAGTATGCACTAAGAATAATAACCACCTAATTAACTTAAAGTCAGCACTTCGGTGGCGGAGTAAGGGTTCGACTCCCACTAACAACATCTTAGAGTTAGGGCTCGTCGAATTGGTGAAAGTATAGAGATATGGATCAACGACAAGTAGGACTCCCCAAACTAAAATTTGTACCTTTAGTCTCCCCAAGTTAGTGGAAGCTAAGTGTCCACTTCACCCCGGCCCAAATGGTAACTTTGAGACACCATATCAAAATTAGGGTTTGGAATTCCATATTGTGAGTGCAATACTGCATAGCTAGGTTAGTGGTGAAAATACATACAGTTGATGTAAGCGACAAGCCAACAGACGTGTGTTTCCTCTATCCAAGAAACCAGCATCAATCACGCATAGTACTCTACCATCGAATTGCAGATAATAGATGGCTGGGAGAAATTGGATCATGAAAAACAAGTATATAATATATATTCAGTTCAAACTAATTAATATTAAGTGAATATCAATCAATCCATTATATATATACATACAAAAAGAAACAACAAAGTATAAAAATTAACAAAAGTTAACTCAATTTAAGCGAATCTCTGCGGCTAGAATCAATTCCTTGATTTCATTCTCGCGCGGAGTCAAATTCAAATCCCAAGAAACCACCGCCGCCGCCGCCGCCTCCTCCTTCTTAACGCTGTCCTCCGATGAATCCTCGTTGACGACAACCTTCGAATCATCACTGTTATTATTAATATTATGTTGTGCAGGGAGAGGGAGCGGTTGGGTGTGAGTGCGGTGTTTGCTCATGTGACCGCCCAAAGCCTGCCCTCTCTCGAACTCCAACCCGCAAACACTGCAAACATGTTTCTTCTCACTCAAGTAACCACCCAGCAACCTCGGCCGCTTGTGGCTAGCCCTGTGGCCGCCTAGGGCTTGGAACGAATGGAACTTTTTCCGGCAAGTCTTGCACTCGTAAACCTGACCCGATATCGCTATCTGTTCCTCGTCCATACGAGATATCAGCATCAGACAATTCGCCATGGCTAAGCTCTCCACATCGTTGTCTCTGGTTCTCCTCTTTAGCACCACCATCTCAACAACAACAACTATTGTATTCTCTGTAAAGTCAGATACTACTTTGTAATAGAGTCAATAGTATTCAAAAAAAAATTTAAACTCAGGCCAACTGTGAATGTGAATTGAATTTTATGCAATAATAAATACGATGAGCTTCACAAATATATATAGGATGGATTTGTATTACGACAAGGATTTGGAGTGTGTAGATATATGGGAATATATACTATTCCTTGGGGACTAAGAAAAGGGAATCAAACGCAACGCGGAAGCTACTACTCCGGAGTCCGGATTATAGTAACTATCCTATCTTAGTTTCACTAATCCTGCTTCTAATGGGATTACGTTATTACTTGCCTAGGAAATTCAGGATAGGTTAATAATAACGGTGATATTAATATAGCCGTCACCGCCTACGAATGTTTTTTTTTTTTTTTTTTTTTTTTTTTTTTTAAATTTTTAGATTATTTATATAATAAACAAAATATGGGTCAAAAGTCAAAACAAGTGGAAGACTAGACAATGAAAGTTATGTGAAGGGAGTCTTGGACAACACGTTTATTGTATCAGTAGCCCTAACTTGGATTAAGCAAACTTTTTTTATTTTTAATTAAAAAAGTCACAGATAAAGTGTGAAGAAGGAAATATATATCACACTTTTTGTCTATGGATAGATGTGTTATATAATTAAGTAATTTATTGTTAATTTTTAAAATTTAGTCTCTTAATTATTCGAAACGTTGTTAATTTATGGTATGAAGGGAAATTCTGGGAGTTATGTGCAATTTTTTTAAAACCAAACAAAACATTAAATAACCAGAAGTTTACTGTCAAGCACCTTGTACTCAGATGGCACCCGGGTTGAACTCCCATATGGGAGGTTGCAGCAGGTTGAGAAAGTAGTTATGAACAGATACTACATTATAATAGAGTAAGTAATAATTAAGAGACTGGAATGTTTTCTCTGAAAAGAAATTAAAGTAATTTTTTTTTTCCTTTTTTTTTTTTTTTTTTTTTTTTAAAGTCTATGTCAAACCTGAGCAGGTTATTCAATCACTAATTCGTCGGGCTATGTTTGACAGAGCTTATTTAAGAGTTTATAGTTTATTTTAAGCTACTAATAAGTTATAAGGTATGTTTGGTAATGCTCCCAAAATAAGGCTAATAGTTTAAAATAAAAGCTTATTTTGAAAAGCTACCTTAGGTAACATTTTAAAAATAATTTTTTCTATCACCTCCTGCATAGAGGAGCAACTTGATACCATTGGACTACAAGGTCCTTGGTATAAATGACATCTTTTTACCATTCCCAATTAATTTTTTTTTTTTATATTTATAGATGTTTTTATTCATCTTCCTTGCAACTCTTTTAAAATTCTAACTCCAATCATCTATTTATAAATAAATGACATCATTTACCCTTACCAATTAAAACTTTTTTCTTTTATTTTAATTTAATATATATCTCATATTTATTATAAAAACAATTTTTTATAAATTAAATATATCTCATATATTTAATAATATAAAAACAATATAATAAGCGCATCATTTAAATTTTATGAAAATGTCATTTTTAGTCTTTCTACATTTATCAGCTTATCAAAAAGCTAATCTTACCAAACACTTTTAAGCATAATCAGACATTCATGATAGTTAACAGCTCTTCAATTTTAAGTTTTTAGCTTATAACTTTACTTTTCAACTTTCGGCTAGGTTTGCCAAATATAACCTAATTCATCCTATGACCCTATACCAGCACTTATGTCGAGATTCATTAACTGTAAGAATAAATCAAAATATATTATTTTTAACATCAAACTATGACCAAATAGTAAATACTATGAATTTTCATCTTAAAAGCTTTAGACAATTCTTACGAAAATTCATTGGTGTGTGTGTGTATAAATATAAATATATATAATGAAGTATGATTGCACTAAGTCTAATATCTTGTTTGAGAAGCTCATTGAATTAAGTGAATGACTAAGAAGCTTCCCTCATTGGTCCTTTTCAAATTTTATAAATATCACATTGCTATACTCCTACTTATTCACCACTGAATTCAAGTACAAAAATATAGGCAATCTATTATTTAAACATTTTGTCCTGTTTTCTAAATCTTTGATAATTTCCAATTTAAAACCATACTAGCTAACTTTAACGCCTTGAAGCTTTCGGGGAGAAAATTCACGGTTTCAATTAAGCTGAAAAATAAAATATAATACATTTTGATTGTTTTAATTTTGTTAAAAGAACCAAATGTGACAACAAGTTGAAAATTATTGGTTGAAAGAGAGTATATCAAGAAAGAAAATCAAACGTAAGAAAATGGGAGATTTGAACGACATATACAAGGTTAGTTAAAGGTTTAGAATTGGAAGAAATTGAGCAGCCCCACAAAAGAAAAGAAAAAAAAAACTCGATCTATATCATATTTCATGTATATTATCACTTAACGAAATATACATATGTCAATGTTATTTTTAGACCATGATCCATAATGCAACATACACCTTAGCTTGGTTCATGGCAAAATTTGTCTCATGTAAAATATATAAGGTTAGAGGTGTACATTTAGACTTAGAGGAAACTGAGTGGCCAAAAAAAAATAAAAAATCATAGATTTGCCACATTTTCCTTCCTAAAACGCATGCATGAAAAGTCAATTTCTTTAGCATGCAATTATGAGTAGTTTAAAGTAAGAACTCAATTAATATAACATGCCTAACAAAATTTCATTTGCTTGTTATTTGGGCAAGCTATATAAGATAATCCACATTTCATATTAACACACTTTACAAGTTTATTATGAATCTAACTCACAAACACATTTCTTATGATAAACATAATATCTAATTTTAAAAAACTAAAATCGTGGCCCGTGGGGTATATCCTTCAACCCGTTAAGCACAACCCAAAAAATTCAATGGGCCTAAAATGTGAAACTATGCCCAACACGCCCAGACACAAATTTTACAGCAATTATACTGTGGACCATGGTCCAAAACGACATACACTATAATGAGTGGTTATATCATAGACCGCGGTACATATATACCGCGATAAAAAACGGCGTAGTTTCTTTACTCTTTAAGTAAAGAAACGGCCCGCCGTTATAGTTAACGGAGTCCGTTTGTTTGATGTATTAAACACCAACTGACACTACAGTATATTTAAACCGACACTGCAGTTATATCAAAATGATACTGTAGTTATAGTTAAATGAAACTGCAATGTATATAAACTGAAACTGAATAACATTTCACATATTTGAGTGTATATTGTACAATAAAACTGTAATTATATCAAAATGATTATGTAGTTGTGTTTTAATGAAACTATAGTGTATATAAAATAAAATTAAACAACATTTTTACATATTTGAGTCTATAAATATCGAATGAAACTATAGTTATATCGAAATGAAACTGTAGTTGTGTTGAACTGAAACTGCAGTGTATACAAAATGACACTGAATAACAGGGTTACTTTTTGCAAAAGGGTGCGAAACGGCGGAAAACAAACACCATTTCTTTTCATCTAAAAAAGGACGCACGATGCAATTTGCCCACTATTTTTTTTTCGGTGTAAACCACACATTGTGATCCAGGTCTTTCTCTATCCGTTAAACGGTCCAGGTCCACCCAAATCGTCACTTTTGGGAATTGAGCCCAAGTTATCCCAGAATTCTCCCCACAAAGAGAGCTCATTTGCCACTTGAGCTACCCTGTTGGGTTATAATTTACCCACTATAATGTATCTAAATTGGCAAATTATGCTATGCATCCGTATGCAAAAACAACGTCATTTTGCATCAAAACGCGCGTTCTACATAAAATAAAAGTCAATTTCGATTTCCACCAACAACATTATGTTGTTATTTTTTAGTTTATTCATTCTGAATTTTTAGTTATGAAATTATGAATGTGTAGGTATGCAATTCTAGATTTATAGTTATGAAATTATGGATGTGTAATTATGCATGGTGTAGTTATGCAATTCTGGATTTTATAGTTATGAAGTTATGAATGTATAATTATGCAATTCTGGATGTATAGTTATGAAGTTATGGATGTGTAGTTATGCAATTCTGGATTTATAGTTATGAAATTATGAATGTGTATTTATGTAATTCTTGATTTTTTTAAGTTAGACGTTAAAACGATGTCGTTTTTGCATCCGTATGCACCATGCACGGTGCATACTGATGCACAACATAACGATTAATCTAAATCAGGGCCGGCCCTACACATGTTTGCCCAGGGCCATTGCACAGACCCCCAATTTTTGGGGGCCCCATATTGTCCATATATCATATGATATATATACTATACAGCAAGCAACAACATGTTGTATAGTATGTATACATATACCTTTTTTTTTTTTTTTTTTTTTTTTTTACAATTGGGCCCCCACAATTTGGGGGCCAATTGTAAAAAAGAAAAAAGAATTATATACATATATTAGAGTTAATTTCATTTTTTATTCTAGATTTATTGGTGTCAGTTTATTTTAAGTCATTTTTTTTTTTAATTAAAACACCCACTTGTGGTTATAGTATTATTGTGACATGACAATTTTTTGTCCATTATCAACAAAATAGTTTTAATATCATTAAATACAAGGACATTTCGATCTTCAATTGTAGATGTTTTGAGAAAAATAAACATAAAAAATATAGCGGTTCAACCTACTTTGTATAAAAAAGATTAAAATATTCATCTGGATATGAGAAGCGTAAAAAGAAAAGAAAAATTGAGCAATTAACTTAATCTAAAAAGGAAGCTCTTGAAAAATTCGTTACAAAAGAATATCAAATAGATGAGCAAAAGGATAACGTAAATGAAAATTTGTTAGATGCTTGATAGTACTAATTGCCACGTAATGCGGTAATTAAATAAACATAAGACCAAATAAAGCAATTAAATCTTTTATTGGTCGAGGTGAAGGCCCTAAGTACAATCTAAGTGGTTGCTCTGAGTACCGACTGACAGCGGTCGGGATTCTCCAACAACAACCTATCGATCGTCCAAAAGTCCCCCACACTGCTGCTATCGCGGGTATTTATAGCCACGGGGCCGAAGACACAAATCCGGCCG